TGCTTCTTCACGTTTAGCTCCATATAATCTATTTCCCAGCAGGACAAAGGCAAAGCTAGGAAAGTGGTTAGGTAACAGATGGCAGCAAAGATCCTCTTCCACTGGTGAATGCAGAAGTCTGGCTTTTGTACAGGAGATTTAATTTTGAATCAGAGATGACCACAAGCTATTTTTTTTAATTCTCAGGTTTCACAGTGCTCCAGCTATAAAAAATAATAATCCTAATGCATTTGGAAGTCCCAAGAGCTAAGTCTTCTACTCAACAGAGAGCAGAAAAGATGGTGTTTTGATAGGATCTGATGAAAAAACTCTTGAGTGATCTTGGCAGGATTTGGAAGATGCTTGTAAAAGACATCATCTGTCTCAGTTGGTTTCTGAGAGATAAAGGGAGAGTGCATTTTAAAAGACCCTTCTTTTTTACTTATGGAGAGAGATGCGCAACAAATGCATGTATGATGCTACTTAGAACTCCACATTTGGTACAATATCTTTCTTTTTATCCCACTCAGCTATGCAAAGGTCACAAACTCCAACTGGCTGCAATTGCCCCTCTTGGTGAGGGTCTGAACAGAGGGACTTGTCAGGACATGAGACCAGAGACGATTTCTCTGGTCCATGACTGGGGATGAAGCATATTAGTGACTACAAGAAGGAAACATCTTTTACTGACTCATTCTGTGTTGTGCCACTTCTATACGTGAATGAATAACTGCAGTCTAAAGGGCAGTTTCTGTTATGCATGGTAATTACATTTAATATTGCACATAGCTTGGAGCGGACCGATTAGCATAACAACTGCCTACGTCTTTCTCCAAGGAGCAGTGGACACAGTGCTGTCTGCAGTATTTCTATGCATCAGTTCTTCAATAAAACCTGCCCCAACTTCAGCGTCCGTCGCCAATCCACATGGACTAGGAAGAAGCCAGATTCAGATTAGCTAGAAAACAAACTCAAAAAGTCTATCAATTTAATCTCAGCTATGTCGAAGACACTCATCGGTGGAAAGAAAGCATGCAGTGCATACACATAGACTATTCATGGGGCTTTCCATCTTTGTGAGAAAAAACATCCTCTGAGTAATTGCACTGAAAAAGAAAGCAGAGGACTGGAAACAAAAATATTACAAGCTGGAAGGATTCATGGTGTACGGAGTTTTGCTTTGGCTACTATCAGTGTGCTCAAATGGAGGGTGAGAGTGCAAGTGATCAAAACCTTCAGACACTGAGTTAATAGCCACTCCTATCCGGAGACATCCAGGGATCAATACATACTGCACTAGCCTTTGTCAAAATGCTCTACGGCAGTTGAGTATTGCAACCAGTACTTAAATTAAGCAAGTGCAGCACAAACCGTTTCTCCTTACCTGACTGAAAAGTATCACTTGCACTATAATTACGGCATAAAAAATCCTAATGACAATAATTAATGAACTCTCTTTCTAAGGAATAGTCTTAGGAGAGCATGACCGAGTATCTTGAAATGTATACCGTCCTGCTACGCCTTTATTAAATGACCTCAGGCAAGCTGTCGATGTATGTGAGCTCTATAAAGACGTCGCCTAAGACAGGATTTCATCATTTCAGTGTAGGGACAATGAACGGCATATAAAAGAAAATTAATGCAGTGGAAATATCCATGTTACATAGCTCCCTCTTAACAAGGATTACTTTTGCAATACTTAACACTGTTGGCAACTGTAAACCTATCATAGGCTTAAAATTCCTGATGACTGGGCAAAAAACCCCCCTGTTTTCTAAGTGAAGAGTCTATTGCAGTCAGCCTTGTAAAAGAAACCTTTTAGTGTCAGTGATAATCAAAATACCTGCTACCTATGACAGAGTTAAAATGGTGTCATGACCTGGCAATTTCTATTCAGTGCTGTCACATCCATGCACTGCACAGATCGGGATTGTCATCATGTAAATGTAATAGGATTCTTTATCCTGCATTGTTGCTCAGTTGGGAACAGTAATTCTAAGTTTTCTGTAAGTTGTGAATAGCAGCAGGGGGCCATGAATAGCTTGGAAACCTATATTTTTTCCATTTATTTTTTTTAAATGCAAATTACACTAGTAAGTCAAAAAAATCACTTTTGTTAAAAATACATTCTGAATTAACAAATGCCAAAAAGAAAAGAAAAGAAAAGACACATTTGGATTGTATTTCTTGCCTTCTGAATATTTAAGTTTATAACAAAATCCCAGCCTAGAAAAATAACACTTTACTGGATTTTGAGGAGGATACAGCTGTACAAATCAAAAATGTCATCCAGATATTCTCACATTACTGTGCTCTAAACTGCTTCCAGAAGAGATCTGTCCACTAATCATTTAGTTTAGTAGTCAACAGCCCTAATTTCTTTTTAATGGTGGTGCTCTAACTGCAACTTAAGCAGGGTTATGAATACCAACTTCATATAGGTATGTATGTGTATATATATATGTATACTGTGTGTATGTGAGTGTGTGTATATCTACTCTATATGTAGTATATGAATACGCATTTATATTGTAATCCTTAATAGTTAGATGTTCTTCCTATTTCCTAAGCACTTTACAAACATTAACAATTCAGACCTCACAAAAAGCCTGTGAGGCAGATGATATTCCCGTTTTATAGATGGGAAGACTAAGACACAGAGAAAAGAAGGCCAAAATTTTCTAAATTAAAATCAGGCCTAAAAGCTACGTGTAGATACTTCATTAAATTGTCTGACTTCTAAAATTGCTAGCTACCAGTAGTTCCGTGGGAAATCACTGAAAAGTATGAAAAATTATCTTCTGAAAATTACATTGCTGCTTATGTGCCTAAACTGGTTTCTTTTCACGGTAAAAAATGGTTTTTATAGAAATATGATTTTGATTAACTGGTATACAGGGAAAGCTAAAATACCCTGTTATGACATTTTCATTCCATTGAAACCTCTACATTGTGTTTAATACTATACATCTGCTATATTTAATACTACATAAAAGTAGAAACTTTCAAAATTTTTCAAGTTATGGGAAATTTCAGCCTGACACTTGGAAGCTGCATGATTTTCCAGGGAGTGAAAAGCAGCTCTACCCAGAACGAACTCAGAATTTCAGGTACCCAAGTCTGAAAATTTGTATTTGAGATCCAAGTCAGCAATGTATGCTTTACGGGATCAGGCCTAAGGGACATGTCTAATTCATGCAGGAAATCCCTAGCAGGATGTGGGGCTGGAGCCCTTGGCCTCCTGCATCAGATGTTTCCTGGCTTATGCAGCCCCTGTCAATAGCCATTCCTGTGTATTTTATATACATAGACATACACACACACACACACACTTACATATATATATATATATATATATAAAAATCTCACTGAATAAATGCAAGTATAGTTCCTGAACATGTCCCGTATCTTGTTTTCACTGGTGAATGCCTGTTCCTCTGTCATTGTCCAGAGTTGTTGCTTGTGACACTGTACACCCATGCAGACACAGCAAAGGGCACTGGTTTGTACAGGGATGGATGAGTGGCGTGAGCGCACAGGCCGTGGGAGCTCGGGAGCCGTGCGGGTGCGAGCGTTTGGCCAGCAAGGAAAAGGGAGTCGCTTGGGGCAGCTCGAGCCTTTCCAAGCGCTGACCTTCCCTCTTGCCCTCAAAAGCTATGTGGTCACCTCAGGTGTGGTAGGTGCGTGCGTTTGCCTATGCAAGGTCTGAGCAAAGAAACAATGACAATCCAAGTTTCTGAAAAGCAAAATATTGGGGTTTTCCTAAGGTAAGCCACCTAAGTGCTTGAAAATACAGATCAGATGTAGAACAAAACATATGTTCCTAGGAGTTTAGAGTATTTCATATACACATTGACCTACTAGCAAAATTCCCAAAGGCATCTTGTTGCCAACTACGTAACAGCACAGTTTTTTTTTTCAGCCACAATAATACAGGAAGATAAAATACACATTCTAACACACAACAGATCCCCCAAATATACCACAAAAAGGTCTCCAATATTTCTTCAACTCAACTAGTCCCTCCCCGCCCTCCCCAACTGAAACAAACAAAGAAAAAAGGATCCCTTATGGTGCAATTAGAAAAAAAAGCTCACTTACAGAGAATTTTCAGTTGAAATTAGATATAAAAGAGTAAACGTAGCTAGTACATATTCAGTTGGCCTTTGTTGATAGAAATCTGCAGATGTCTCTGTAGTTAGTAAAAGACATTTAGAGATAGCTATAAAAGCACCTACAGTGCGATAAATAAAAACAGCGGGATTAAGAAGCACTGTTTCTGCTGCTTATTTCCAGTAGGTTCAATTATTAGTTTATGTTACCCCTTTCCCCACCCCAACCCCCAAAAGGTCTCATTTCTTTTCTTTTTTTTTTTCTTAACCATTATAAACTGTTTGTTTCTTGACCACTGTGGAGCCTCAAAAGTAAAGCACTTCTCAGACAGCTGGCAGTTTTCTACTCGGTCGCTCTGGAGCTGTGGAGCCACAGAGCCTTATTCCCTGACATGAAAACAAAACAAAACCAAAGAAAACCACTGACTTAGAAATCGTTCAGAATTAACAGCAGCATGTTGAGCCTAAAGGACATTACTTCAGAAAGCTTGCACTGAGTTTCTCTGATGTGCAATGCAGTTGGGTTAAGGCAAGTATGAACTGTACAGCCTTCAGGGCAAACAACGCGCTGTCTATTGACTTCTGCTGCAAGGTCATCCTGGTATTTTTAGTGTTGTGTTGACTAAGGAGACTCGACGCGGCCAGGAGTGCGGAGGGGATTCCGAAAGCACCGAATTGGCTGGGTTCATGTCTTAATCCAGATGGGCCGCGCTGGCAGTGGCCGGGGTAGGGAAGAGCCAGAAGATGGCACCAACGCCTCTGCCCTGGCCCTCTGGTGCTGGGAGGCAGGAGGTCCAAGGTGGGGGTCCGGGGCATCTCCCTTAGTACCTGTTAGAAAGAGGGGCTGAAGGTATCCGTTGTTTTTTGTCTCACTGTTCAATCAGCTTTTTGTTGGGTTTTTTTAGCACAAAAACTGGATTTTTTTGCTCTTTGAAGAACCAGGGGACCATCCTGAAAGTTTCAACAGGTCCTCCAGCCCACGTTGAGTAGTCCCCGTGTTTACTTTGACCTAGAAGAAAGATAGAAAAAGAAAAATATGTATAATCCACGATATACCTGCTGCTCTGGTGCCCTTTTGCAAGCAAGTGTAATCCACCAGTCAGTAACAGTTCAGCTGCACACGGGATGAAGAGGACAGAAAGGCAAGGTGTTTGCTCAGGTGATTGCCTGGCTCTCTCTGGAACATTGTCAGAGAAGTTAGCACATGTTTTCTAAACCATTCGAGGCAGGAGTGATGTTTAATTATAGTCTTAACTATATATCCGGGTGTCAACTGGAAGATGACCTGACCTATAATAATCCATCAGAAATGTAGCTGTCTTTGTAAAAGCAAGAAGTGACACAGTATGAGGACAGAAGGGCTGAATCGAAGGTGCCTGGGAAAGTCACCCAAGGCTCACTCGCAAAGCAGAGTGCATGTGCAGGTGTCACAGCCCCGTACACCTGAAAAGTCCTGTCCCAAACCCGTGTTTTGTAACTCCAGCTTTCAGTCTAAGACAGGCAAGATGTTGTTGGTTGCTAGACAAGGCTTAGCTGGTAGTTTATTTAAATGATATATTGCCGATAATGTCTGAATCCCACAAACATGAGGAGATAACAACACAGTAGATTTGTACTGCATGAACTTGCTGAGTGTCATGGTGGTTATACTCTAGGCGCTGTTTTTTGTGTCTTGCTTATGTTTCATTTATACTTCAAGTGAATGTAGGTACTTTCAGTATGAGAAATTATCTAGACAAATACCTACAGCTTTAGGCTAGGAGACCATGGCCAGCATAATGTATATGCAAATACAACAGAGAGAAAAGGTGGGACCAGGTAGTAAGGCCCCCCTACACCCTTCCGTCCCTGAGTTATTGACTCAAATTTCCTTTAACTTTTGGGGAAAGGTAGGATCCTATTAGACAGAAACTATTGTAAGTGCCTTCTGGTGAAAAGCAATGCCTACCAGTAGTCCTGTGTAACAGAATACACATAAGTGAGCGTGTATATATACACACACGTATATATAAAGGGGTCTGTGTGCATATAGGTGTGTGTGCTTCTATGCATATATAGTATGTGTGTTTGCAGAGAGAGAGAGAGATATAATGCAAAGATTCTCAGACTTCACAGAATACGAGGAAAGCAAGCTTCACTTCAGGGCTGAACTGCTTTTGAGCAATTTCTCTAGTGCATTAGGCATCAGCATCAGACATGCATGCTTTTTGTTTCACCACTTCTGTTCTTGAGCAAACAAGTTTATTGTGAAAAACGTGAAGAAAAATCTCTCTCCCCTCCCTCCTTCCTCCTGTTTTTGGAGCAGTGATCATGCAGTGCAGTCTTGTTCCACAACCATAACTGTGTTTTTTCATGTGCATCAGAATCAGTGCCGTGTTTAGTCACCTTTCTCAATCACCTCCCAAGAGCAGAATTTTCGCTTGACAATTGATTTCCACCATCTTATTGTGGTGCTGTCCCATGGTCTGGAAATAAGCACTAACATCTCCAGCACAGAATGCCAGGAAGCTGCTTTTTAGGACATCAGCTGTGGCCACACTGCAAGGAGGTACATGAGCACCGTTTCTGTCCCGTTCTGTTTAAAAAACATATTCGTTTTGAAGGGACTGTCTAGGCTTCTTGGCTTGTACAGCATAGAGCATGCTGTTGGCACTTAAGTAATAAAAAAAGCCATTTATAACAGGTAGATAAACATCATGATAAGAATTCTCACCCAAAACACCAGTGTTTTATTTAAAACGTAATTTAAAATTGAATATATTTTTCTCTTTAAAAAATAAGCTGATTTAAATTAAATGTGAAATTGGGAGAGATGATAAGGAGAGTTGTGATTGGAATTCAAAGCCTGAAATATAGAGAAAAAAACCAAAGTGAGCCTGAATCTAATAATTCTACACTATTTAAGGAAACAGTAGCCAGAGATAGTCACCTCAATTCAGTATCTACAGATAATGCTTCCTTTTCATAAATCAAGATTTTTTTCC